AAAGCAGAAAAATTTGAAATTACAAAGAAACACAGACCATATGATTCTGTGCGTCTCCGATTGTTGGAACCAAGAAAATGGCAACTGCATCGTGTTCAGGAAGCACGGTGCTAAAAAATTAACTTTGAAAATTTGTTAAAACAATTCTCTTTTTCAGAAACGCGCAAATTTCTGAATAACATATTACGCGAGAAAACTCATGATACTTCCTTAAAACCAACATCAGATCGGATGCCTCACTTTTAGATTTTCTGCATTTTATGGTGTCTACACCAAAATACTTTTTATGTATCAATATTTCTTTACCGAAAAATCTTTTAAAAGTGGCAGTAACATTTTTTAAAATCAAAAGCCTTGTCAAATGCTTCTGTGGGGAAAGCGGGTGAGCTGGTAATTCTACCAGAAAAGGAGAAGAACGCAAAAATCGCCAGCAGGTTGACCACCAAGCCATGCATCATTGGTCACTGGACCAGTTGCACAAAATTTAATTTCACATTGATGAATTTGCACCTATTTCAAGTAATTCAGTCAAGTGGTACATACATATTACACATGTATATTTATATATTTTACATCATGCTGTTCGTTATAATTAGCATCTATTCTAAGTATTTTTTTAGGCAAGTAGTATATGCATATATATTTATTTACTTGTTTATTTATTTATTTGTACACATGTGTTTATACACATATATGTTTTATTTCATTTCTGCTCTGTTAAAAAAGTGTTCCATGATTTTTAAAGTTTTACAGGAATAGAATAACAGGGTATTATTTCATATCAATAGACTTAGGAATTAAAGGAGAGAATGATTACACATCTTGTGCTTTGGTTTTAAAAATTGGCCATCTGTTCAGAACAAGAAGAAAATGGAAAGGAAAAATGAGGGAAATGAAGTAGATTTCTTCAAGAAAGATGCAAAATCCTATCCCCAAAAAAAACGCAAAAAGCTGGGTAAAAAGTCACAACGAACAAAATACCGGACTGCGCCGAAACATGAACTTGTAGTATCAAAGGAGCTTGTGGTGCGGGGAAGTTGCAAAATACCGTATCCAACTAAGATAGAAACGAAAAAACTTTTCACATTCGCTTTCAATGAAAGGCGGAGGCATTCGAAAGTAACTTGATTGGCATGGGTAATTATCCGTTGACAAGAACATTCCTATTCAGGTTTTTTAATTCGATTTAGCTTCTCACCTTCCTTTTATTCCTTTTAATCATTACTTTTTACATAAATACACATCTAAAATTAAAATTATAAGAACGTCGATCGCTCTCCCCTTACCTGAGGTATCTCTTAAGCAAACCGAGACGGCATTGGCATGCGCCAGTGCCAATTTACCGTCAAAAAAATCGTAGAGAGATTGGTTATCCCACTGGTAAAATTGAGCCTTCCACCTTGCGCACGATGGCAGCGTTTCTTGCCTTGGCGCTAAACCGAACAGCTGTGATGTGTAGCCTATTATTACCGGGCTGTTAGGGTGCTGTTATTGTTATCTTGTTTTGATCTGTTTTGGCATCAAATTTTAACAAAGAATTGCCCCCTCTTCCCCCTTCCTCTTACGGATTTTGCCTCTTCCCTCGTGTGCTGGCCCTGCTTCTCGACGCAACCGGGACATATTTCCTCATAAATAATTGCGTTGTAAAAGCTGAGCCTCCAATCATTTACTATCCAGTTTCCTCGGTAAAACAATTTTAGCGTTCTAAAACAGGCCCTTATAATCGTAAAACTGTAACTGAAAGCATTCAATAACGGAACCGAAAGGAAGAGAAATTCGTAAGTACACTTAGTAATCAAATTATACTGTACTAGCCACTGATGAAATCAAACT